GATTGCTGGGTCATATGGAAGCTTCATTTTTAGCAGTTTGAGAAACCTCCAAACAGTTTTCTATAGTGGTTGTACTAGTTTGCATTCCCACCAGCAGTGCAGAGAGTTCCTTTTCTCCATATCCTCGCCAACATTTGTTGTTGCAAGTTGTTTGAGGATGTGCCATCCTCAGTGGGGTGAGGTGGTATATCATTGTGGTTTTAATTTGCATCTCCCTTATTACAAGTGATGATAAACCACATTTTTATATAGTGTTCATTCAGCACTCTCAACCAATACTTACTGAATACTAATCTCTTGCCACAGAGGGTGGGCAATGTTACCTAAATGTTACAGAAGAATGAATTGAGGATCTTAGAGTCTGAGAACTGCTGTAAAATCACATAGTTTGGAGACTTTATTCTTTTGGTACTGAATTCCTTCCAAACCTTGTTGACACCAAAGCCCTCCGTCTTCATTAACTCACAAGTGAGATGATTTAATGCCTTGGGCAAATTAAATTCCACCATTTCTACTTCTGTCTGTGCTGTAGAATTTTCTTTAATTATTGTCACATGGAATTCTCAGAGCCACAGAGGAAGCTATCCACATGGATACACAGATTATGCTTGGGTTTGTATTATTGGTAACATTTCTCAAGAGTACATTGTTCCGAGGGTGTGACTATGCATTACACAGATCTACTCTTTTGATCCTCAAAATAGCCTTCTGAGGAATATATGTCATCCCTCTTTTGTTTATACAAAAACCTCAGAAAGATTAAAAAAATTGCCCAAAGTCACAAACAGAAATATAAATGATCTGACAATCCTTGCAGGTTTTTAAATGTGCAAACAGGAGACTGACCTAGCTGACTTCCAAGAGTCCTACTTGAAGAGCCAGTTGGGTGTGACAAAAATGTTGAATTAAGAATAAAAGCTAGTCTATCTGGGTTCATTTCCAGGTTTAATGTCAAAGCTCAAAGCTTAAAAGAGACACAGGTCCAGTATGATTTAAATACTTTGACTCCCCACCCAGGAAATTATGGTAATAAATTGAGTCATTATCAACATAGGGACTAAAATTTACTGTGTTGAACACTCTCCTACATGTTTAATAGTCAGACTCGGGAATATCTGCAAATTTTAAAATCTCCTGATAAAAAGATTAGGATGGGCCCCTCCCACTTTTTTTTTTTTGAGGCAATGGCAAGTTCTGCTAAGTAAAACTTCACATTACTATTATTCTACTGTTGGATTCAGGCTGTTGAAAAGTTAGTTTATATTTTTCATAAACATATTTTTCTATATAGATGGGTACAATGTAATAGGGTAAAATAACTCATTCGACAAAAAGTTATTATAGTGTGCCAGATTGTGCTAGGTGCTGCCTAGGATTTGAATACTCAAATGGTGTCAGCTCTGGGTGAGTTTTAGGGGGAAAAAATCTTTACCAAATGGGGAAAGCTTCATCCTTGGTATTTATTTTCTTTGCTGTAAATGAGGATGTTGGTTATCCAGTCTTGTTTTTTGACTTTGTATGAAGGTTTCTCTTCACTATTTATTTCCATGTCAAAATATTCATCTCATGCTATCCAATTTTTATAGTTCTTTGATTAGTTCAACAAATGTTTATTGAACTGTCAAACATAAGATTGAAGCTGCAAATGTTAGGAGGTCCCTGTTCTCATGGAGTTTACAGTTCAAAGGAATGAGGCAATAATAAATGCTATCATTAAAAATGTAAATACATAATTAATTTAATTTCTATTAAATGACATAATTAGGCAAATAAATGCATAAAACAACCATTAAAAAGTGTTAATTAAATAAGTAACTATAGGTTAGTAGGTGCTAAGGAGGAAATATGGAGCATGGAGCGTTACATCGTTTTCAGCCATCGCACAAAGCAAATAAGGTTTAAAGCAAAAAAAGATGAACTATCAAGGTCATCAGATTTCAGATTTTAAAAAGGGGAAAAATAGTAATGCCTTCAAACAAACTAAGCAATGATTAACCATTACTTTTTAAGAAAATTGTACTGTGACAGGTCTACTTCACCTCATCTCCTAGGAATGGAAGAACTTGCTAACAGGAGCAGCGAGAGAATCTCGCTTCTCCTTTCTTTCATTTTACTTGTAAGTCAATTGGAAAGACAAAGTGAAAAGACAGAACAAGGAGTTCGATAAGGAAACTGCCAATCTAGCCCGACCATTGAAGTTTCTTTTAGTCTTTCTAGATTCCGCCTCGGCAGCGGGGATCTGTATAGAGAGAAAACTAACGCTGTGAACTTCAAGGTAGATTTCTTTTCAGTCTGCCCGGTGGCAGGAATTTGGGTAGAAGAGGTCAAGGTGTGGTTAGGTAAGAGGGAGCGCCCAAGAATAGCACTTGGAAGAGAACCGCGGAGAAAGCCACAGAAAAGAAGGGGCAAGACGAGGACACCCGGGCTGAGAGCGCCGAAAGCTTCTCCGCTGCGGCAGCCGCGCGCCGCTCAGGTGGCCCTTTCCCGCTCAGGTGAGCTCCTCCCGCGCCTCCCATTGGCCCAGGCACCCGTGGCGCTGGGAGGGCGACGCAGACCGGTCTAGTTCAGGGTCTAGGGCGGCGCGTCACTTCCGGTAGCGCGGAGCTTGTAAAACACCCTGGAGAGAAAATGGCGGCGGCAGCGGCTTCGGCGCCTCAGCAGCTCTCGGATGAGGAGCTTTTCTCTCAGCTCCGCCGTTACGGCCTGTCTCCTGGCCCAGTGACGGAGAGCACCCGCCCCGTCTACCTCAAGAAGCTGAAGAAGCTTCGAGAGGAAGAGCAGCAGCAACAGCACCGGCCCGGGGGCCGCGGCAACAAGACGCGAAACAGTAATAACAATAACACGGCAGCCACCACGGTCGTCGCCGCGGGACCGGCGGCGGCGGCCGTGGGGATGGGGGTCCGGCCGGTCTCGGGCGACCTCTCCTACTTACGGACTCCTGGGGGCCTGGGCCGAACGTCGGCCTCGGGCCCGGAGAGCCCCCTGGGAGGTCCGGGGGGCGCCTCTGCCGCCCCCTCGGCTGGCAGCAAAGTGCTGCTGGGCTTCAGCTCGGACGAGTCGGACGTGGAGGCCAGTCCGCGGGACCAGGCCGGCGGCGGCGGCGGCGGCGGCGCCGGCGGGAGGAAAGACCGGGCTTCGCTCCAGTTCCGCGGGCTCAAACCGCTGTCGGCGCCCCTGGTCGCCAGCGAGGTGACTAACAGCAACTCGGCCGAGCGGAGGAAGCCGCACTCGTGGTGGGGGGCCCGGAGGCCGGCGGCTCCCGAGCTGCAGACCCCGTCGGTGAGAGATGGAGCGGCGGAGGACGAAGAGGAGGAGGGCGAAGACGAGGAGGACAAGGACCCGGACGCGGAGGAGCCGCTGTGGTCGAGCCGGACCGTGAACGGCAGCCGGCTGCTCCCTTACAGCTGCCGCGAAAACTATTCCGACTCCGAGGAGGACGACGACGACGACGTGGCCTCCCCCCGACAGGTATTGAAGGACGACTCCCTTTCCCGGCACCGGCCCAGACGGAGCCACAGTAAGCTTCTCTCCCCGCTGCCTGCTAAATCTGCCGGCTGCCGCCTGGAGCCCTCGGCTCAGGGAGGGGGAGGACTCGCGATGAATGACAGGGCGGCGGCTGCCGGGAGTCTAGACAGGAGCCGAAACCTCGAAGAGGCGGCGGCGGCGGCGGAGCAGGGAGGAGGGTGTGAGCCCCTGGACTCCAGCCCCATTCCTAGATACCGACTGAGCACTAAGAAACTGGCCCCTCTCCTGCCCCCGCCCCTGACTGACTTGGACTCGAGCCTGGATTCGGCCCCGGGCTCCCTTCTTAAAACGAATAATCATATTGGCGGCGGAGCCTTCAGTGTGGACGCCCCCAGAATTTTTTCCAACAGTCTCTCTCCCAGTGCGCCGGTGGCCGCCTCCAGTTCACTCAGGATCAATCACTCCAACCACACGGGCTCCAATCACACCTACCTGAAAAACACATACAACAAACCGACGCTTTCCGAGCCCGAGGAGGAACTTCTGCAGCAGTTTAAACGGGAGGAGGTGTCCCCGACAGGGGGTTTCAGTGCCCACTACTTATCGATGTTTCTTTTAACTGCTGCCTGCTTGTTTTTCCTAATTTTGGGGCTGACTTACCTGGGAATGAGAGGGACTGGCGTAGCCGAGGACGGAGGACTCAGTAGTAAGTATTAAACTCTGTGGGTAAGGTAACAAAGGGAATATTGTGAATGGGCTGCCTGAATCACACTTTTTTCTTGAGGTGACTTCTGCCTACAAGGACATGGTTAAAAAGTGAAGAGCAACAGATTGGGTGCGTTTGTGTGTTTTCCCGTTAGGAAAGACCATTGTTACCGTTATCAAAATGATAACCGCTTGGCTGGTTTTTAGTTCTTTTTGTGTGATGAATTGGGGAAGGCAACGTGTCTTATAAAAAACCAACATAGTGCATGTCTGTTAGTAAAATGCATTTATGTGTGCGACTTAAATTTTCTCTTATCCTGAGATGCAGATACCAGTTACTTAGTAGTGGAAGAATTTTGATTGTTACTGGGTATCTTGCTTGCAGTGGCTTTCCTTATTGATGTGAGGTCTCTTGGAATTCTGGATGAATAATTTATAGAATCCAGTGCTCTTGTTAGTATTTCTGTAATTTTTTAAAAAGTGAGCAAATCTAGAAACAGGAAAGCACGCCTTTAATTTGATTTCCTGGGTCAGAACCTTCCCTGCCACAACTTAGTGGTAAGGCAGTGCAGGTGCTTGCCCTCAGATTTACCTGGATTGGTTTCCTGGCCCTGCCATTTAAGTGACTTTAGGCAAGGCCACCATCATCTGCTCAGCTGAACATCCAGAATACAGCAGTGATCAATCTAAAGTATCCTTGCCCTTCAGCACAAGAAGATAAAGACAGATCGTTGTGTGTTCTAAGAAGAAATAAGGATGGAGTAATTGGTGACTACTACTGTAGAGTGGATGGTGGAAGGTACTATTTCAGATGAGAGGGATGAAGCAGGAGGTGGAGACAGCCTTGCAAGGAGGCAGAAGAGTGTTCTGGGCAGTGATTACAAAAAGGCCTTTCTGTAGGTTGGAGTGATGAAAGCACTGTGAGGAAGAGGAGTTAGCCAGAGTTTGTTTTACTTAGTTTATTTTACTTAGTTGCTTTTGATACCAGAATGAGGCTTGTGGAGATTAAAAGAAGGTAACTTCTCAGTATTAGCTTCCTCTGCCTACTGTACACCCTAAAGTTTTCTTTGCATACATCATGAATTCATAGTATCATGGTTTGTATTTATAAAACTGGCGTATTATGTTTTATTTACAAAATAGTGAGTGATGCAGTTACTAGATTCATAAGGAGGAGTCCAAGTGGGGATAATCTTTGATTATGTAACCAAGTCTAAGATAGTCAAATAATAGATTATTACTATTTTATTTAATTAGGAGGGTTTGAAGAATAATGAAATCCAGCACTTTAATTGGATTCCTGAGAAAACAATATCTTGTGTTCTGTTCAGTTATTTGCAAGGGGAAAAAAGAAGTAAAGTAGCACTAGAAGTGAAATTAGGAAAGTTCACATAAATGACATTTACTTATTAGCAGTACCTATATGCATCTGTGTGTTTCTAAAAGAACACCGACTTAATAGTGTGGATCTTTTTTAAGAGCTGAGTGCTTTATGCATATTATCTCATTGAATCTTCCCAGCAACTCACAGAGGCAGATTTATATTTGTTGTAATCTCAGTTGTAGACAAGGAGAAAGAGACTCAAGGAAGGTAGAAAATGGTATCCAGTGTTGAACAGCTAGTGCAATAGGACGGAGATTTGATTTCAGTCTTTTCAAATAAAGCCCATTTTCTTAATACTACTTTGACTACATTGGTAGCGAGCTTTCTAAATAGCAGACTGCTTCTCTCAGTACTAAGAAAATAATTGCGTGCATGCCTGGTCACTCAAGGGGTTAAGTCTCAGCACTGTGAAGCTGTCCACAGCCTCTGCAGCATGAGTTCTATCCCTTGCTGAGGAGGTGACCCACATGGTGCAGCAGACCTCTCCTGTCTCATCCCCTGCATCCCTCTGCAGTTTATTTCAGTAGATCTGCTTGTTTTGCTCCCCATTCTGTGTTTGGTGAATACTCGCACTGCCCCGCACCTCTGGCCTACACCCTAGCTCTTGTATGCATAAAAAAATCTTTTTTAAAAAAGAAAATACTTGAATATTTGGTAGGATTTCATCATTTTCATACAGAACTGATGAGCACAGTTTTCAAGGTCACTTTCGTATCCTTTTCTTTAATGTAAAGAAAATACTAGTTACTCAACTTGGCAGTAAAATTTCAGATGAAACAAAGTAAAAATAAAAATTTCAGTTCAGCTTGGATTTGGTACACTCCACTAGTATGAAGGAAAGTAAATGGTAGTGTTTTGCATTTCAATAAATGGTTAGTGTGAGATCCTTCTTTGTGGAGGATCTGGGTCCTACTATTTGTAAAAATGACTTCAGACAAGCTAGTTCTTCCTAGCTCAAGGTGTAAGATTATTATGATTTTGAATTGTACTAAAACAGCTCAAGGATTGGTTAGTCTGCAATCAGATTTGATCCACCAAAAGAGAATTGTGGCAGGATAGATTGACTGTCTTAGGTTCATGTGATCATTATTTAAAATTTGCTTTTCAATACAAAAGGTGTTTTCTGTAGAAAATTTTAATAGAGAACTATAAAGTATGATGAGTAAGTATTGTCTACCCCTCCTTCTAGTCTCACACTCAACCCTGGTAGAAATAAATTCAAATACTAGTCATTTCTTCATGTTTTTCATGTAAATATACATTCACATGTAGGCTTATATACGTTTTTAATTCAACAATATGGTGATTTCTGTTTTACGTTCAGGAATATTTTGTGAACAAGAGAGATGATTTTTTTTTTCCCATGGAGCAGGGAAACGAACAGGTAAACAAATAATTTTAGACAGTGATTGTTGCTAGTACAAGATAATATGAGTAACTTGGGGTAACTAGAATAAAGTGGGGGGCTGACCTTTTAAGGAGGCGATGTTTAAAAAGGAAGGGCCAAATGTCTTGAAAGAGCATTGACAGGGGCCCTCCCTGCTGGTGGAGCAGGTTAAAGCGCAGCACTAAGAAGCTAGTCACTTCAGCATGAGTTCGATCCCCACCCAGAGGTGACCCACATGACACTGCAGACCTCCCCTGACCTGCCTGCTGCTCCCTTCAGTAGTGTACTTCATCGATCTGCCTGTTCTGCTCCCCTCTCTGTCTCTGGTGAATCCTCTCACCACACCTGCATCTCTGGCCTGTACCCCAGTTCTGTATGCATAAATAAATCTTTATATATATAAAGAGAACATTGACCAGAAGAAAAGCATTCTGGGCAGAAGTAATAGGAAGTGCAAAATGCCAGAGCAAGAAATAGCCTGGCATATTGATGTGTTGGAATAGAATGATAAAGTCTTGTTTTGACATAGTGAAGTAGTGAGAAAATTTCATATGATGAAGTCAGAAGGAGGCAGGGGCCAAATCATAAAATAAAGGACTTAAAGGTCCTTTAGTCCATTGTAAGGAGTATGAATTTTATTTTAAGTAACATTTACTAACATTCTGTAGCTGTTTTTTCACGTAACCTATCATAGGTAACTTTTAATATATGAGGTTTAAGTATAAAGGCATAATTTTAAAACCTCACTTTCCAGTCTTACCTGTCTCTGCCATCTTGAAAATGTTCTTCAACCTTCTCTATTCTGTAGCTATTCATAACTCTTCTTAGCCAGCTTAATATCTCCTTTGCCATTCACTCTACACTTGTCTAGTTTTTTTGTTTGTTTGTTTGTTTTTAACCATCATCCCTTTGTAAGGTCTCTGATTCAAGTCACCAATTGCCAAATTCCAAGAAAGACTTCAAAGTTTTATCTTCACTTCTCTGGTACATTGAATACATTAACACCTCCCTTCTTCATAAAACACTTTTTCCAAACTTCTGTATCACCACTCTTTGCATTTACTCCTGTCTTCTTATGTTTGTTACTGTTTCTTTAGACAGATTCATCAACTCTTGGGTAATGCCCCTTTCAGTTTTTTATTTTCGCCATAGATTTCTCTCCTGAAATAGCTGTTTGCTTATATGTTTTCCCTGCTGTCCAAAGGTAGAATGTTTCTATTTGGTATGATGCTGTCAGTCTGTTGAGGGGATTGGGAATGCTAACAAAATTTCCATATTAATTAATGGAAATTCCACCAGCCCATGTCAAATATCATTTGTCTTATCCTTTTGTACTTACCTTTTTTTGTTTAAAGATAGGTTCATTTTTGCATAGAAGAACTGGGGTACAGGCCCGAGATGTGGGAGGAGGTGAGAGGATTCACCAGAGCAGAGAAGGGAGCAGAATAGGCAGATCTAGTGAAATACACTGCTAAGGAGAGTAGATTGGGAGACAGGAGAGGTCCCTGGCTAGGGAGGTTGTAGGGTATGGTGGTGGTGGTAGCAGCCCTGAGCCTTAATCCGTGGGCCACCAAGGAGACCCTACTTAATCTTTCTTTACCTTGTTTCTCCCCTCCTGTGTTTCCTGTGTTAATTAATGGCATATCTGTCCACCCAGAACTTAAGCTTAAAGACTGGACTTTCACAAGATTCCTTACTTTATTTTCCTAGCAAATCTCAAACATCAGTCTAATAGCCCAAATCCTGTGTTTCTATTTCCTTATTATCTTTTTTTTTAAGGATTTGTTTATTTATGCATACAGAATGAGGGTACAGCCCAGAGGGGCAGGGGCAGTGAGAGGATTCACCAGAGACAGACTGGGGAGCAGAATAGCAGATCTAGTGAAATGCACTGCACTGCCGAGGGGAGGGAAGCAGCAGGGTGAGACAGGAGAGGTCTGCTGTGCCATCCCTCCAAGACTGGGGGTCAAACTACTGAAGCAGCTGCTGCCAGCTTGCAGAGCTGCGTCCTACCTAGCCTGTCAGGCAACCAGGGAGGTCCCCTCCTTGATATCTTTTTAATCAATCATTTTTTCCATCACCATTATTCTAGCATAGTTTCTTGCCTGAATTGTTTTAATAGCCCCCTAACAAGTACTCTGGCTTCTGTACTCTCTTTAGTCCATTTTTAGATGGCTGGTAGTAGTTGTAAAGCACTAATGTGGTAATTCACGCTCTTGCTTCAAATGAC